TGTTCTGACTTGAACGTCGAAGAATCATCGGAAAACATCCCACAATCATGTCGTCTTCACGTGCTTGTTGATTGTGTAGGGCGGATTAAAACATCCTGACCCAGATTTTCTTACCCGCGGTGAGGTTTCTAACTCAGCCAGACTTAGCCAATTTTTAGAGTTTTTCCATACCTGCGGAGGTGGCCCGAAGCAAGATCAACCAAGCACGACAAACCCGCAAGCACAACAAGTTAAAAGCACGACAAACCCCATAAGCACGAGGTATCGCGATCTTGTGTGACGAGTCATCAGAAGCACAAAAAATCTGCAAGCACGACAAATCCGCAAGCACGGCCAGTCCAAAGAACGACAAAACCATAAGCAAGAGGTGTCGCGATCTTATACGATGAGTCATCTGAAGCATAAAATATCCAAAGCACGACAAATTCGCAAGCATGAAAAACTCGTAAGCATGAGGTGTCACGATCGTACGCGATGAGTCATCGACAAGCATGACAAATCCCGGAAGCTGCTGGACGAAAATTTTCCTAATAATAGGGTTAAGTAGCTCTCAGTTTTTTAGATAGAAACAGTTCCAAACCTCTGACCAAAATAGTTTGTGATCGTGATCTTGTCTGCGGTTCGTTGTCGGGAACCTTCGAGTAGTGCCGTGAAGTTTTTAGGGTAAGGCATTCGATCCAAACTTTCCTATTTGACTTAGTTTCATCTTGTGATCTTGAATCCAACCTTTCATGGTTTTGATGGTTGGAATGGTCGAGATTTAAGCCGAAACTCTGTCCGTTTTAAGGGAAGGGAAGATTCGTTAGTTCGTGGAAGAGTCGAGGAACCTAGATCCGTTCTAGAGCCTAAGTCCAAATCTAAGCCATAACCATTCAGAACAAGGTGAGTCTTGGTGATGTTGTGTGTTAGATTAGTAGAACACACGTTATTTGTTTATTGTTATGCTTTATAGTCGTAGAGGTTCGTGCTAGAATTTTAGGAATTTGGTTAATTGTTTTCTTTGATTGTTTGTGCATGATGTTTGGTTGTGTGATTACGTGCTGCATCAGTCATGGGATGATTGTGTATGCACTTGCCGGTAAACTTTGTGGATGCAGGGTTTCAAGGGGAAGATGATTCGCATTTGATCTGGGTAGATACATGCGGGTCTAAGGTAACTTTATGTGCTGTGTGTGGAGATGGGTATATTGCAAGTGATCAAGAGGATCATGTAATATCCTAACGTTCTAACATTAATATCCTAACAATAGTAGTGGACGGTTGACACTTCCTATATCGGGAGTCACGGAGAGACGGAATTGCAGCCTAGGACCGTGACTTTGTCGAGTAATATCATGAGGGACATTATTACAGCCTAGGGCTGTGGTATTATAGAGTCGGATCACTAGTCTTTTAACCTTTGTGGTTAGGACCGAGTGAGGTAAAATGGAAAATGGAAGGAAGTTGTCAATTCGGTGTATAGGGTTTGCTATCTAACATCTAACAGCTAACATGTTACGTTACAAAGGGAATTGCAGTAAGAGGTCCTCTGGATGTGTTGTGTTTGATTTATCTTTTCCGCATGTGCATTCTCTGATTGTTTGTGTGA